TAATTACATTGTTTTCTTCTTGTCTATTTGACTATTACACGTTGACTAATAATTTTTATTTCACAGGTTAAATGCGTTCACATTTAAGCATTTAATTTTATCTTCAGATTTTTTACTAACAAAATCTTTTCTCATAAGGCCAAACAAAAAAACAAGTGTGTTTCCTGTTCAGCAACTGACCCTAATTTTCTTGCTGATTTTAGTTGCCGACCCTATTTTCATTCTCAAATGCACCACAGGGTTCCCAGTAAGCTCATTTCCACTGTTGCATCAGTAAAAAATAATAAAAAATCTGACCTACCAACCCCAATTATTTTTCTCGTGCAATAGGAAACACACTTATTTTTTTGTTTGGCCTAAGAAACATTTTAACTTTTTCATGAAGCCTTCAACCAATAGATTGAAGGCATTTAACCAGTGAAATGAAAATACTATAGCAGTTTTCATTTACCTGTGAAACAAAGATTATGACAGTCGGATAAACACAATAGAAAACAAAAGAATTAGAGCAAAGTAGTGCTAAATATGCTAAAGTCTATTTCACAGGTTTATGAAAACCACTCTAGTCAATGTGTAATGGTCAAATAGACACAAAAGAAAACAATGGAATCAGGATTTATTTATGTGCATTGTAAAATAACTGTTATAAATCTCGCATTCTGATTGGTTGGGAGCGTGTGCTTTATGAGAGCACACATCATGCAAGCGCCCTTTGCTTTTCATAAAAGAAATAAAAAACTTGCTTGCTGTGTTGTGTGGAGTTATAAAGCACTTGGGGATTGGCAGAACACTCGAAGTGTCGAAAATCACTTCGCTACACGTCGTGCTTCTTCTAACATCTTTCTCATGTTCTGCCAATCCCCCCAATCCCCTCATGTGTTATAATTGCACGCAGCATGCTTGCGCGTTTTCTATTTCTTCTTAAGTGTATTATTAATTTCACAGGTTTAGTGACTTTACTCTAAAGAATACAAGTTGATAAGTTGCAAAGATAACCTTTAAATACTGCTTTATGTTTGACAGGTTGAGGAATATTTACAAGATCACCCAGATCTGAGAAAGCAAGCAGCAGAAGAAATGAAGCAGCATATTTGGAAGTAATCTGATTGGGCATGGATTATTTTGCACCTCCATAATACAATCTATCACTAATATTTGTCTTAGTGTAACATTGATAGTATTTTGACAAAGGTGTGCCTTTCTAAAGTGTGAATAAATTGAAGGTTGACATTAGTTGTTGTTGTTTGCTTAGTGGGCCATTTTACAAGGTTAAGAGAATAAAGGGTGGTGTAGCAGTAGTACACTCACCTCTGGGGTCTCATGTTTGATTCCTGGAGTACACCAGTTTATTTGCATTCCATGCATACAGACTGCTGTTTTTGAAGACCACAAACTCAATTGCACAGGTTTAGCCTCATTTATAAATCAGCTATTCACATATACCATAAACGTCTGTGGAATTTCAAAACATTGACCAAAACTGGTTATTATGGTCGTAAAAAATGATACGAGAGATGACATAATAATTGATCATGAAACAGGAACTCAGTGCAATTTATATCTTTTATCATAAACAGGGTCCACAAATTTGATTTTTTTAATCATAAACAGGGTACCCTTTTGAGAATCCCAGCGAAACGCCCCTACCCAAATTTTGGCGGAGTACCTCCCTGGGATCTCAACGAAGGAAAAAGGTTCAGAGGAATAAATGAAATGACTATTTTATGAGCAGTTTGCAGGCATTTCCACATCAACCACACTTCCAGCAAAAATCCCACTGCAGTCTGTGCGTTAGATGCGTTGGTCTCCCTCTTCCACCCTTGGAAAGAAATCTATCATCAAATTCGATTCCCATTCTGATTGGGTTGCCTGTGTAAGTAGTCCCAACCCTCTCTTCCTGTAAGGTGAATGCGCATGTGTAGTTACCCAGCACCTCTAGCGTGTGGTGAGCAGCAATGTCACTATGTCAATGAAGGAAAAAGGTTCACAGGAATGAACGAAATAACCATTTTATGAGCAGTTTCCAGGCATTTCCACATCAACCACGCTTCCAGCAATAATCCCACTGCAGTCTCTGTTCGTTAGATGCGTTAATAGAACAGAGTTGTTTTGCCCGTGACGGGTTTGCGAAGCGCAATTGGCCGCATAGCCAGTAAACACGTTCGTGTGGTATCAAGAGCTCTTGGAGGCAGCAGGGAACGAAAGGGAAAAACGCCAACCGACAGTCAACCTATGATGAACACGGACGAAAATGCAAGTGAGCCTGAAGAAATGGATACAAAAGAAGGTAATCAAGTCGTCTAGGAGCCGACTTCGACTCCACAGCAGCGAGCTCAAGCGGGCTTTCAAATTCGCCGGTTTGGCTTTGATCCTACACCATTCGGTTAACTTAACTTTTTCCACTTATCTTGGGAATTTGCTTTATTACAGAGGACCCCAGTGATAATATGGTTACCAATGGATCTCATTCGCCCAAAGAAAACGAAGATGTGACTATGGAAGAGGATACAGCCAGGGCAGAGGGGACTATTACCCTTACCGTCCCTCATTTTAGCAAGATGGACAAACCAGAACTGAGCGATCCGATATACGTGAGAAATTTGCCCTGGTAAATATCATTTCCTTGTTTATATATAATCATTCCAACGATAAACTTGCAGTAAACGAGTTCAAATCTTTCACTCTTAATACAAAATGTTCAGTTGTTTTGATTATGGTGTTTTTGGTTTAGGGAAAATTTGTTGGCCTACGTGACGTCCTCCAGACAAAAATTCCATCAACGTTCACTTTTAATTATTTATATCTCTAGTTTCTTGCTTATGTCATGTCTAGAGTGCTTTAATCAATATGATCTAAGATTGGTTTTTTATACCACGGATTGTTTTCGGTCTGCTAATCGGGTATATTATCCAAACCGTCAACTTATAGTTTATGATCTAATTATTGATATCAATATATATATTATATATATGCACGTGTATGTACAAAACCTCCTGCTATCGAAAAATTGAATGCTTCATTAGTTTAAAATCTATTTGTTTAAAAGCAGAATTTAATAATCAAAAAATTTAGTTCAAAATGAAGTAAAAACGAGTTGTACGAAAATACTTAAATCTTTTTTTCTTCAGTCACTGCTATCAGTCTTATCTTGACTTCTTGACCAGTTTTGTTTTACTTTGTACATTGTAGATATAGTTTTATCAGTTGTGTTGATCTATATTTTTGTACAAGACTCCTGTCTGGTTATATTTGATCTCCTAGTAAGATGGCTATAATTTAGTATTAGTCATTTTATCAATCAAATTAAATATATTTACAAAAAGTAATTCTGTAGACATGGACACCTTAAAGAAAGATGACTATGAATTAGTATTGTTTTGGAATAGTTTGACATTATCAATTTTGTTCTAAGGTAAAGTGCAAATCACTAAATACATGTGTTTCTTTTGTTTTCAAATTTTCAATTGGTGCTATTTTGGCCTAATTAGTTCTGTTTCACAAAAATGTGGTTTGCACTCTGTAGTTTTTGTACTTAATGTCAAAACACCAAAATGGTTTCCTTTTAGCATATCAAAATATAAGCATCCAGACGTAACCATGCATTTTTATTTTGTTATCATTAGCATTATCAGTCAACATGATATATCCTACTCACTCTTCAAGTACCACTTAAAACTCTTCATACCCCCAGGTCCCTAAAGCTTCAGTTAAGAGTATGACAGGCTTTGACCATCATGTATTGTTTTTGTATTTAAAGGCGTATAATGCTGATGCCTAGAACATCTTCTCATGGGCAAGAGAGAGTAAAGAGCCTGGGGTTTTTCTTGCAGTGTGATCCCAAGCTAGAAACTGTGTAAGTGATTACGAGTATTATTATGATACAAATTATATTGTTATTATAAAGCAATAAATTATATCATTATTATTATGAAACAAAGGTTTTTGAATACTTATGACACCACCTATGTTTTGAAAAATTTTTATGTYAATGTGTTTTCCCAAATTCCATCAAAATCTTTACCAGGGGAAAGTGACTTCTTTTCAAAATATTCTTAGATCTTGGTCATGTCAAGCGTCGGCCAAGCTCACGCTAAAAAACCATCATGAAGACAAGGAAGATTTTAGCAGGAGTGAGTATACATAAAAAAGGAAAGGGGTGGGGAGGGAGGGGAGGGAAGTTCTCCTATAATGGTGTATTCATTCACTCCCATTAGAATAAAAGGACAAGCAACATGGTTTTCATGTTGGTTGGCATAACAAAAGAAACCAAGACCAGATTTTGACTTTACTTTATTTGTGTATTTCTTAATGCAGTTCCCTATTGTGAATCACTTATGACATAGCCTTACTGTCAAAAGAAATTCATAAATAAAAGTCAGTCAACATGGCAGATATATCACATGTTCTTAACCCTTTCACTACTAGAGTCTAAAAGGTTCCAACACAGGCTCTTCCTGGAACATGTTAATAAGGGTTTTTTATTCCTCAATATGAAAATGAAAAATATATGTCCTAGGGGACGGGTAATTGAAAAGCAAAAATGTCTTTACACTGGCCACTTTTGGCCACTCTAGGAAAAATGTAGCATTTCCGGTTGGTCACTTTTTGCCGCTCTAGTAGTGAAAGGGTTAAATAACATAGCCTATGTGAAATGTACATCTGAATAGGGAAGAATTTTTAAGTGATTTTGGTCTCAAGTATGGAGTAAGCATTTTTTTTAATTTTCTAATAGTATAGATCAGAGAAGTCCCTCCCATTTTCTTTTATTCCCATAACCTCAATGAAGGAATCACATTAAACAAACAATTATTAATAATTGTAAAATTATTGTACTGAAAGTTTTTTTTCACCATTTTTACAGAAATTTCACATCTCTTTTATGCTAAGGAGAATGACTGGGGCTTCAGTCACTTTCTCACGTGGGCTGTAAGTTATCAATTATGATTTCCACTTTAGAGTACATGCATTATACCTGTGATTTAATGTGGTTATTTATAAGTAAATTTAACTTGGAATGATACCTGGTCAGTGGGTTTATAGCTCCGCGTGAGCATGCTCAATAGTTGTGACTCAGCGACATGGCTTGCTTGCCATTGCTGTTTGCTTCGCTTGTGCAATTTGCTTGTGTTTCTCAATTTGGCCCCACCCTTCCCCTCAATGGAGACTGAATGTGGTAAGTAAGTAGTATAGGGAATGGGGGTTCCAGCGCAATCTCAACACGGGCAAGACCCGTGTCAAAAATCCACCTACGGAAACAACCCACTCCAAGTGTGGTTGGGGGCAACAGCGCAAATATGTTAGTCTATATATGGAGTGCGAAGAATGTAAGA